TGTGTGCTCAGGCGGTTTCCCCTACTGTCATTGCAGATCCCACACACTCAGGTCTGGCTACTAACTCACCCTTGGTGAGGTGCTTACAAAGCTTAGAGCCAGTCCCAGGCCTACGGGATTACTTTGAATTTAGCACAAAAATGATAGTAAAGCCAGAGTGGTGGTTTCTATTTTTAATCCCAGCCCCTGAGAGGAAGCAACAGAGAGACTGTTACAAGTCTGAAGCAGCTCTGTCTCTATAGCCAGTTCCAGGCCAGCCAGGGCTACATAGTGAGACCCTGCTCCAAAACCAAACCAGCAGACCCTAGCTCCCTCTGTGCTAGTCTACTAGGAGAAAGGCTTTGGTTTTAGTTTCCTGGTGCCACAAAACAGTGACAGAAGACTGGAGTCACTTTAGTATTTTTTATGATGCAAAGCTGGAGAGGTTTTTGTTTTTAAAGATTTATTTATTTATTTATTATATGAATACAGTGTAGCTGTCTTCAGACACACCAGAAGAGGGCATCAGATCTCATTACAGATGGTTGTGAGCCACCATGTGTTTGCTGGGATTTGAACTCAGGACCTCTGGAAGAGCAGTCAGTGCTCTTAACCACTGAGCTATCTCTCCAGCCCCGTAAGATTTATTTTTAATAATGTGTATGTATGCAGTTGTGCAGGTGCCACAGAGGTCAGAAAAGGGCATTGAGTCCCCTGGAACTGGAATGACAGATGGTTGTAAGTTTCAAACCATGGAGCCCTGGGAACCAATCGCAATCCTCTGGAAGAGTAGGGGCAGGCAGCTCTTCGCCATGGACCCGTCCTCTCTCCGGCCCTGAGTTAGAGGTTATTTATTTATTTATTTACTTACTTATTTATTTTGGTTTCTCAAGACAGGGTTTCTCTGCATAGACCTGGCCTGGCACTCCTGGAACTGTAGATCCAGGCTGACCTTGAACTCAGAGATCCATCTGCCTCAGCTTCCAGAGTGTGCCCACAGTGCCTGGCTGAGTTGGAGTTTATTAAAAAGACATTTTTAAACATAGATCTTGAGTGCAAGGGAGTGAAATAAGAGGCACTGAGAGCAGGGGCGTGGGCTTTTCAAAGAAGAATGGCAGCCACAAATCAATTTGGTCAGTAACACAAACCCTGACAAGCCATGGTTCCCGACCTGCACAACAAGAGCAGACACATACGGCTCACATGGCCCGAGAGCTTCATAATACTGGGTAAGCTAGCACCAGCCTGTCTGCAACCCACATCGCTTCCCACTTTTTCTTGGAACCTGATTTTCATGAGAAATCAGGGTAAGGAAAAGGCAAGAAGGTAGTAGTTGAAAGGCCAGGGGACACATTGTCCATCCTCTGCCTCCGAGCCGGTTCAAAGCTTCACTCTGAGACTGTCTCTCCATCCACCGACAGTACAGACTCACAGAAGGGCAGCAGAGTGAAGGTCAGGCCTCTGTAAGCTTTAAATCCAGGTGGATTAAGTGACCACCCAGGAATTCCCCTCCTGCCCCACCCTCTCAAGGCCCCGCCCTCTCAAGGCCCCGCCCCTAAGCTCCTGTCTGACCAAGCTTCCAGTTTCTTCCTGTCTGCCAGAAACCAGGGAAAGGAAGGCAGGCCCTGTAACCATGACATGGCTGGTACACAGATCACAGGATCTTGGGATATTAAATTCAGAGCCTGACTAAACTTGCTGTTCCGGAGTAGAGTAGAGGGGAGGGAGAGAGCCAGGGGAATTGTTTGTTTGTTAAGCAGTGTTCCTGAGAATAATGACAGAGCAATTCCTTCCAGGCCAAACAATTCCTCCAGGGCAAAGCCAGAAAAAAAAAAGATGCAGAAGTCTGACAGACTCAGAGAGGCAGGGAAGGGCCATGCCCCCGCCCAACTCCCTTTTCTCTTGCTATCTTTGTTGTTATTGTTGTTGTTGTTTTCCAGGCTAGCCTCGAACTCAGAAATCCACCTGCCTCTGCCTCCCAAGTTCTGGGATTAAAGGCGTGTGCCACCACCGCCAGGCTCTCTTCAAGACTCTTAACCTCGCTGTTTAAAGTTGCTTTTGGTTTTGTTTGTTCGTTAGACACGGTCTTAATCTGTAAACCACGTGAGCCTTAAACTTCCAGCAATCCTCCTGCCTTAGCTCTGCAAGTGCTGGGATTACAAATTTGTGTCACCTCTGTGGTGCTCCTGAAGCCTCTTCCTCCTCTTCCTCCTCCTCCTCTTCCTCCTCCCTCCATCATCATGGAAGGGGTGGTATCTATGTAGCCCAGACTTCCTCTCTACCAGTGCGAGTTCAGGCGTGTACCACACCCAGCTCTGATTCATCAGGTGAAAACAATGGAAATTTTTGTGAGTTTTACGGTATTGAGATGAACAAACTGGGCTGCAGGAGGTGGGAAAACAGTCCTCGGAAATAAAAATAGCCAAGCTTTTGGGTAGCTGCCCCTCTCACCTGACCCCAGCTCCGCACCCAGCTCACTGAGTATCCATCAGAGCGAATGCAGGGGTGCTGAGGTTGTAGCTGTCCTACTAGAATGAAACACCACGATCAAAAACGAGGTGAGAGGAGAGGATTCATTCGGCTTACACTGTCACACTGTAGTCCATCATTGAAGGAAGTCAGGACAGGAACTCAGGGGAGGAAACTGGGAGGCAGGAGCTGATGCAGAGGCTGTGGAGGGGTGCTGTTACTGGCTTGCTCAGCCTGCTTTCTTACAGAACCCACCACCACCCAGCCCAGTGATGGCATTATCCGCAATGAGCTGGCCCCTCCCCCATCAATCTGATTAAGAAAATGCTTCACAGCAGATCCCATGGGGAAACTCAGTTTACATTCCCTCCTCTCAGTTGACTCCAGCCTGTGTCAACTTGCCATAAAACTATCTGGCACAGTAAGGATTAATAAAGTGACATACAGAAGGCCCCAGTACAGTGTCTACTCTGTCACAGCACACCACGGCTGAGGTCCTTCCGATACTGAGGCACTATATTGTCAGGTGACATCCCTAAGAGGAGTGTTCACTGGAACACTTAAAACATAGGCAACAAAAATGGTGAAGTGACCCAGCAAGATGGCTCAGTAGGTGATAGTGTTTGCACACAAGGCTGACTTCCTGAGTTCAATACCCCAGAGCCCTCAGTGGAAGAAAACTGATTCCCCCAGTGTTATCCTCTAACCTGTACATGTACCAAACTCTGTCCTTCCCTCCCTCCTACCCTCCCTCTCCCTCTCTCCCTCTCTCCCTCTCTCCCTCTCTCTCTCTCTCTCTCTCTCTCTCTTGCTCGCTCTGTGTATGTCTCTCTCTTGCACACACACACATTTCTAAAAACTAAAAATGTGATTTCTGTTCCAGCCTCCTTCCTGAAATAACTGTAAACTAAAGCATTAACCCAACAGTCTCATTCTCCCCTGTCTGGTGCTAAGGACTGAACCCAGAGCTAGTTGGTGAACGTGAAGCCCTCTGCACACACCTCCAATCTCCTTAACTTTAAAAAAATTCAGAGTGGGGCAGTGAGGCGGCCCAGCCTGGGATGTGCGAGAACCCATCTCAAAACATTTAGCAACAAATCTCAAGATGTACATCAGCAAACCAGTTGCTTAGCATCTGCAAGCTCTAAGTTTGATTCCCAGCACAATAAATGAAGTAAAATGAAATTGCTGGACTCACTGTTAGAGCTGGCCCCAAGCCTCATACCACATACGAACCACATGAACCAGCCAACCGAACACAGTTTATAAGGTAGGCATAGCATAGTAACCCATGCCTATGATCCTACACTTAGGAGGCTTGAGGCAGGGAGACCCCCAGATTCAAGCCCAGACTGGATTACATATTGAGTTCTAAGCCAGCCTGGCCTACAAGAGGCCTTGTTTCAAGCAGATTAAAAAACATTAAATTAGAAATCTTGTATGTCATCTCAACGGGCTCGTGAGGCCTGATGGATTCAGCCTCAACCTCAAAGCAATCACAAGTAGACCATGAGGACCGATGGCATCCTTCAATAGATAAAGGTGCTTGCTGCCAAGCTTTCGGATTTCAGCTTCATCCCAGGACTAATCAATCCAGAAGGTGAAGAGAGAGAACTTACTTTTACAGAGATCCTCCGACCACTGAGTGTGTGCCCTGGCGTGTGCAGGTCCCACACAGTGGTTCCCTGATCCCTGCATGTGTGTCCTAGTGAGTGCAGGCCCTGCACATTGGTCCCAATCCTGCATGTGTGTCTTGATGGGTACAAGCACCATAAGTGGCCCCTTGATCCCTACTATGTGCATGCCCCACACCCCAAGTGGTCGTCTGTCCCAAGTGTGTGCCTTGGCATGTATGTGCCCACCTAGTGGTCCTTTGTCCCCTGAGTGTGTATCTTGGCATGTGCACACCCCAGACAGTGGTCCCTGAATGTATGTCACAGCAATTGTTTGCCCACCCACAATGGTCCTCTCTCCTCTGAAAGCATGCCCTGATAAGGGCATACCCCATAAGAGGTCCTTTGACCCTTCTGGATATGCCTTGGCATTTGCACACCCCACACAGTGGTCCCCTGATCCCTGCATGTGTGTCCTGGCATGTGCACGCCCCCAACATACATGCAGTAAAGATGACAAGTAGGGTGGGACCCTTCACCCGCGCCGTCAGTTCTCATGTTATAAGGAACATCATCCACAGCCTCCGTTATGACTTTATCTCACCAGCCCCACCTCTTTTTACTATAGTAGTGTGTACACTAAGTGAGCGACCCACCACCTTTTCGGAAGTCAATTTTAAATCACCTGCATCCCCAACACCCTGCCAGGGGCCTGGTTCTCTGGACCCCCAGGCTGAAGCCTCTCCCCCACTTCCGTGAGAATTTATCCCGGATGGGTGTTTATTTGCTCTGACTGCTTTAATTATTCTCACACAAGCAGATCACAATACAGTGTCCCCATGCACTCCACGCCCGTCTTAAGATAAAATGTCAGTCAGGCATAGGCGAAACTGTCACACACAAACACCTGACCTCAAAACACAACAGGCACACAAGACCTGGCAAGTTATTTTGAAGTTTATTTTCAAATAGCCAGTGAAAATTGACCTGAGTTCAGGATGGTTATGTATAAAAACATGAACAAAAGGTGGGAGTCCACCAACCAGGAAACAAGTCCAACAGTTCAAGCGCAATGCAAGATTCAAGATTATAAACGCAAGGAGAAGCAGCAGCTGCAGCCTTCGGTAATCCACCCGTGGCCTCTGAAGGACCTGACTAAAGCATGTCACAACAATGTAGCCCGAGGGAGGGTACAAACACAAGAGAACTCAACAGTCTCCTGGTGTTTTCCTAACATATCTATTTCTTTTTTGTATTTCAATATAGAATCTCTCTACATAGCTTTCACTGTCCTGCAAAACAAATAACATGGGGAGGGGGGCAGTGCTGAATTAAAGGCAGGAAATTTCTTTTTTACAAAGACACACTCCCAGTACTAATTTACAGGGAGAGTAAAGCACATGTAACTCAACACAGTAAATGAGTTTCCCTAAATTTGACGATGACCCAAAGTCCTCAAGGCCACCATTCTGTCTCCTAGACCACACCGGGAGAGCCAGGAGGGGCCTCTAATCCACCTCCTCGATGGTGGGCCCTGACCCAGCTCCGCCCTTGGGAGCCTGGGCCCCGAAGCCCCCAGCCCCGGCAGCACCCGCACCCTGGTACAGCCCTCTGACGACGGGGCTGCACACCCGCTCCAGCTCCTCACGCTTGTGCTCGAACTCCTCCTTCTCCGCCAGCGTGTTGGAGTCCAGCCAGGAGATGACCTCCTGGCACTTGTCCAGCACCTTCTTCTTGTCAGCCTCGCTGATCTTGCCCTTGAGACCCTCGTCCTCCACGGTGCTCTTCATGTTGAAGGCGTAGGACTCGAGCGCGTTCTTGGCAGCCACCCTCTCGCGCTGCACCTCGTCCTCGGCCTTGTAGCGCTCGGCCTCCTGCACCATGCGCTCGATCTCCTCCTTGCTCAGGCGGCCCTTGTCGTTGGTGATGGTGATCTTGTTGGCCTTGCCGGTGCTCTTGTCGGTGGCCGTGACGTTCAGGATGCCGTTGGCGTCGATGTCGAAGGTCACCTCGATCTGGGGCACGCCCCGGGGCGCCGGCGGGATGCCGCTGAGCTCGAAGCGCCCCAGCAGGTTGTTGTCGCGCGTCATGGCCCTCTCGCCCTCGTACACCTGGATCAGCACCCCGGGCTGGTTGTCCGAGTAGGTGGTGAAGATCTGCGTCTGCTTGGTGGGGATGGTGGAGTTGCGCTTGATGAGCGCCGTCATCACGCCGCCCGCCGTCTCCAGGCCCAGCGACAGCGGCGCCACGTCCAGCAGCAGCAGGTCCTGCACGTTCTCAGACTTGTCCCCCATCAGGATGGCCGCCTGCACCGCCGCCCCGTAGGCCACCGCCTCGTCCGGGTTGATGCTCTTGTTCAGGTCGCGCCCGTTGAAGAAGTCCTGCAGCAGCTTCTGCACCTTGGGGATGCGCGTCGAGCCGCCCACCAGCACCAGGTCGTGGATCTGCGCCTTGTCCAGCTTGGCGTCGCGCAGGGCCTTCTCCACGGGCTCCAGCGTGCCGCGGAACAGGTCCGAGCACAGCTCCTCGAACCGCGCCCGCGTGATGGACGTGTAGAAGTCGATGCCCTCGAACAGAGAGTCGATCTCCAGGCTGGCCTGGGTGCTGGACGACAGCGTCCTCTTGGCCCTCTCGCACGCCGTGCGCAGCCGCCTCACCGCGCGCTTGTTCTGGCTGATGTCCTTCTTGTGCTTCCTCTTGAACTCCTCCACGAAGTGGCTCACCAGCCGGTTGTCGAAGTCCTCCCCGCCCAGGTGCGTGTCGCCTGCCGTGGCCTTCACCTCAAAGATGCCGTCGTCGATCGTCAGGATGGACACGTCGAACGTGCCGCCCCCCAGGTCGAAGATGAGCACGTTGCGCTCGCCCTTGCCCGACCGGTCCAGCCCGTAGGCGATGGCGGCCGCCGTGGGCTCGTTGATGATCCGCAGCACGTTCAGGCCCGCGATCACGCCCGCGTCCTTGGTGGCCTGCCGCTGAGAGTCGTTGAAGTAGGCGGGCACCGTGATCACCGCGTTGGTCACCGGGTGGCCCAGGTACGCCTCGGCGATCTCCTTCATCTTCGTCAGCACCATGGACGAGATCTCCTCCGGGAAGAACGACCGGCTCTCGCCCTTGTAGCTCACCTGCACCTTGGGCTTGTCGCCGTCGTTCACCACCTGGAAGGGCCAGTGCTTCATGTCCGACTGCACCACCGCGTCGCCGAACTTGCGGCCGATCAGCCGCTTCGCGTCGAACACGGTGTTCTGCGGGTTCAGCGCCACCTGGTTCTTGGCGGCGTCTCCGATGAGCCGCTCGGTGTCGGTGAAGGCCACGTAGCTGGGGGTCGTGCGGTTGCCCTGGTCGTTGGCGATGATCTCCACCTTGCCGTGCTGGAACACGCCCACGCACGAGTAGGTGGTGCCCAGGTCGATGCCGATCGCCGTGTTCTTGGCCATGGCGCCGCGCTCTGCTTCTGGAAGGCTGCGCTCTGCGTTGGGGACGCTCTTGGGAAGGCTGCGCTCCGCGCTGGGGACGCTCTGAGAGAGGCTGGTCTCGGCCGAGGGTCGGGAACGCGCCGCTCGCTCCGCTTCTCTTGGCTTCTCTTCTCTCCGAGTGGAACCAGAGACCGGTCCTGTCTGAGCAGCTGAGAGCTTCTGGTGCTCTGCGCGCCTCCCTGCGCCTTTAAGGAGAGTCGTCTGGCCCCGCCCACTCCCTCCTGAGCCAATGAGCGAACCGGAGGAGGGCTTGGGGCCAGGAATCTTCCAGCAGTTTCGGGTCTGGTGGAGAATCCCCGCCTCCCTTGAGTAATCGGCCTTGAGGGTTCCGCCCTTGTCCAGAACTCTCCAGACGGTTCTGGGGTTCGCTGGAGAGGACGGATTCCTGAGGGGGAGGGTGTGGGAAAGTGCTGTTGCCTCTGTTGACAGTGTTGCCATGCCAACGCATTACTGAGGCCAGTGTGGAATGGACAGGAAAGGTCACCGCTAGCTCGGTGTTGTGGACACTTGGTTGTGATTTGTGTGGGCTTCATTGACTCACACAGTTCTTATTATGGGGGTCGAATTAAGGGCTATAACTTCCCCCTTAAAAGCTTGGGAGACCCAGGGAGATGTCTGGGGGGGCGTGTCCGGTGACGTGATCTCCCCCAGTCGCGTTACAATGGCAGTGCTGCCTCTGACCTCATGGACTAATATAGGAATCAGAGGCTCTGTCCCAGAACAGGCTCAAAGTTGCCGGGAGGGGCGGGGTGGGGGGTGGGGGGACCCCGGCTTCTCAGTTTGGATGTTCCTGGAGCTCCCCACTGGTAGGGGCTCAGCTACTTCAAATTTTCCAAACTGGATCGAAGGCGTAGAGATTCCAGGTGAGCCAGGAAGGCTCTGATTGGAAAGGAGCTGAAGCCTGTGTGTCCCAGTCGGTCCTCACTTGATGGGTCGAGGGTTTTCTTAGGTTTGATTGATTTACAGACATGGTCTAGTAGGCCATCATGAGGCCTCAGCGTCTTGAGTGTTGGGATTACTATGGGGCTCTCCACACACAGACCTCAGTTGTTTTAATTCTGAGGTTGGGTGTTGGCTACGAAGAAAAAATAAGGCTGGGAGCTTGAGGGACGGACACAAGTGGCTGGAATTAGTCTGAGCTCAAATGGGAGGCAGGCAAGACCTTTTTGAATATGGTATTGACAGCTGGAGACAGGAGTTACAGTCGAGGGAAGGATAGAAACTCGGTGTAGAGAAGGATGCCCGTGATCCCAGCACTCCGGATTTTCAGACAGGATGGCTGCGGAGAGCGGGGCGGGGCGGGGCGGGGCGGGGCGAGGCGGGGACAGGAACGAAGTTGGGACTTTGAGTACTACTTCTCAGAAAAGTTAACTGGAGCCACCTTTAATTCCAACTGTCAGGAATAGAGGCACAGGATTGCCTGAGCTACATAGCGAGACTCCTGACTTTTTTTTTTTTTTTAAGACTTGTGTGTGGGGGAGCAGGGGTCCTAACAGCCATCCTCAGAGGGAGCTAAATTACTCCACCATAGATTGCTAAGGAAGGGAGCCTCATATGAAGAAAGACTAGTGCCTGTCTTTAAGAAATGGTTTGTCTATGTGTGTGTTTGTGTGCCTTGTATAGTGATGTGTTAATGCCTCCAGAGACTAGAATAGGCTGTCTCATCCCCTGGAGCCGGAGTAAGTGGCAGTTATGAGCTGCCCACTGAGGTCAGGCTTTCTGGAAGAGCAGGAAGCACTTATAATTGCTGTTTCTTAGACCCCCTGATACGCCTTAAGGAGTTCAGAGCACAATCTTAGGAGACAGGTAGACAGGTGTGGGCCCACATTAAAACATATCATTGCCATAGGAAGAGTAGAGTTGATTTAGGCCCTGGAAGAAATGGTGGATATAGACCCACTTTCCTCCCATCCCTGGAGTAGCTGAGAACACCGTTGTCTACCATCCACATAAGTGCTTTGCCATGAAAGCCAGGTCTGGATGTGTGCATGAACCTATGCTAACAGCAGCCTCCTTCACAATAGCCAAGAGGTGGAAGGAACCTGCTGTCAATGGAAGAAGATCATGTCAGGAAAGGGTGGGGGACACATACAACGAACAGTGTTTAGTTTTGGAAGTACCAAAATAGGCAAAAGGGTAAGAATTAAGGACAATTATGCTGAGTGAAGTAAGGCCAGCCACAAATAGACAAATGCAGTATAATTCCAACTGTAAGGAAGACTATGAGTAGATAAATGCACAGAGACAAACATCCAGAAGACAGTCCACTCATAGCAAAGAAGCCCAGCCATGGGTAGCATAGGCCCTACTCCCAGCTCCTCGGGAGGCTGTGAAGAGAGACTGCCAGCGCCACCCTGGCTTAGAAAATATGATGAGACCCATTTTGAAAAGAATTCCTATTATAATGAGACTTTCAAAATGAACAGAGGCAAAGTGCATTATTGACTTAAAGATTTCAATCAAGTCTATTGGGGCAAGGTTCAGACTAAACGGGAAGGAGTTCGGCAGTGGAAAGAGGCCTATGGATGTCTCCTGCATCATGCTGACGTTTGACTAGCCTGTCTTAAAGCATGGCATCTGGTAGAGCAGAAACACTGCAGAAGCCAGAGATGGTCCTGAAACAGACATTTGGGAGATTCGGGGCTGCCGGAGGGTCTCAGGACATGTGCTCTGAGACAAGAGTTCAGTGAAAGCACCCCAACATTGGGGTTACATTAGCTCAGTGGTACAGCTCCTGCCTAGAATCCCCAAAGTCCTAGCCTCTGCCTCCAGCACACAAAAAGACAAAACGCAGAACCAGTCCTAAAGAAGAAAGACAGTGAAAAGTGAGTGGAGAGAGAGTTTGACAATGTTTGATATTTTTCAGAGAAGCAAACTCAAAATGTATAACCTATTAGCACCAGGCACCTCTCAAGTTGAGACATCTGAAGTTTGTGGCACCTTTCCCTAGTTGATTCCCTATTATAAGAGAAGAGAAAGCTTGGAATTGTAGGGTGTATGAGACAGCTCAGACAGTTGTTAAGGAAACCAGCCTGGTGTGCTGACTCGTGCCTGTGACCTTGGCATTTGCAAGGCTAAGAGGAGAATAGCAGCACTTCTGAAGCTAGCCTGGGATACATGGTAAGTTCCAGGCCAACCTCCTGGCCTACAGAGAGACTCTGTCAAAACAACAACAACCTTCCGAGAGGCTGTAGAGGTTGCTCAGTGGGTAAAGTATTTGTCGTGCAAGCATGCAGACCTGAGTTCAATCTCCAGAACCCACATAACATCCATGGAAGTGCTTTGCTGTGAAAGCCAGGTCTGGATCTATGTGTGAACCTATGCTAACAGCAGCCTCCTTCACAATAGCCAAGAGGTGGAAGCAACCTGCTGTCAATGGAGAGAACAGCAAAGGGTACATGCTGGCATGCAGTTGTGATCACGGTCCAACCTTGATGAATCACTGGGCTCTCTGGAAAGCCTGTGTCACCTAACTGACCAGGGTCTCAGGCTAGTGAGAGGCCCTATTTCAACAAGGTGATTGGCAGGTGAATGATATCCAGGGTTGACCCCTTGAACCCACATGTTCATGCACCCCCCCACACACACACACCAAAACAACAGCCACAGAGACATTTACAAGCTCTCTGTGAAGGACTTCTTTCTATCCAGAAGGTAGAGTCTGGGCTGTGTCCATCTTTACATTTGTGGCTTTAAGACTGATGGATGGACCTGGAAGAGCTGGCTCACCAGTTAAGAGCACTCTCTGGCACCTACATGGTGGCTCACAACTGTCTTCACCTCCAGTCCCAGGGGACCTGACATCTCTCCTGAGCTCCTAGGACACATACATATATGAAGACAAAATGTTCAGACACAACAAATTTTTTTTTTTTTTTGGTTTTTCGAGACAGTTTCTCTGTATAGCTCTGACTGTCCTGGAATTCACTCTGTAGACCAGGCTGGCCTCGAACTCAGAAATCCTCCTGCCTCTGCCTCCCAAATGCTGGGATTAAAGGTGTGCGCCCACACTGCCTGGCACAACACATTTTTAAAAGATTAAAAAACTTTAATCACCAGAGCTGGGCAGTGGTGGCGCATGCCTTTAATCTCGGCACTTGGGAGGCAGAGGCAGGCAGATTTCTGAGTTCCAGGCCAGCCTGGTCTACAGAGTGAGTTCCAGGACAGCCAGAGAAACCCTGTCTCAACCCCTCCCCCCAAAAAAACCTGAACTGGGCTGGAGAGATGGCTCAGCAGTTAAGAGCACCGACTGCTCTTCCAGAGGTCCTGAGTTCAATCCCCAGCAACCACAAGGTGTCTCACAACCATCTGTAATGGGATCAAATGTATTCTGGTGTATCTGAAGACAGCTGCAGTGTACTCATATTTAAAAAAAAAATAACATTTTTTTTCTTTTTTTCTTTTTTCTTTTTTTTTTCAAGGCAGGGTTTCTCTGTGTAGCCCTGGCTGTCCTGGAACTCACTCTGTAGACCAGGCTGGCCTCGAACTCAAAAAATCTGCCTGCCTCTGCCTCCCAAGTGCTGGGATTAAAGATGTACGCCACCACCGCCCGGCAAAATAACTCTTTAAAAAACAAAACTAAACTAAACCGTCTGAGAGCTAGAGAGGGTTCAGCCGTTAAGAGCACATCTGTTCTTATAAGGAAGCCCGGATTTAGTTCCTGGCACCCATCTATGTTGTGTGCAGTTCCCAAGTGTGACTCCAGCTTCAGGGGCATCCCATACCTCTGATCTCTACAGGTACCTGTACTCATGTGCATATTCCCATACAGACACACGTGCATACACACAAATATTAAAAATGAATCTTGAAGAGAAAAACTGATCAATAAATAACTTACGTCTTATTTAAAAAGAAAACAAACCACTACCATAAATATGATTTTAAGTCTCCTTTCTCCATAGGCCTCGGAAAACCATGGCTGCTAATAAAGGAATGGCCATAGGCATAGACCTAGGCACCACCTACTCGTGCGTGGGCGTGTTCCAGCACGGCAAGGTGGAGATCATCGCCAACGACCAGGGCAACCGCACGACCCCCAGCTACGTGGCCTTCACCGACACCGAGCGGCTCATCGGAGACGCCGCCAAGAACCAGGTGGCCATGAACCCCCAGAACACTGTTTTTGATGCCAAACGTCTAATTGGTAGGAAGTTTAACGATCCTGTGGTGCAGTCAGATATGAAGCTTTGGCCATTTCAAGTGATCAATGAAGCGGGCAAGCCCAAGGTGCTGGTGTCCTATAAAGGAGAGAAGAAAGCCTTCTACCCAGAGGAGATTTCATCCATGGTACTGACGAAGATGAAGGAGACTGCAGAGGCTTTTTTGGGCCACAATGTCACCAACGCTGTGATCACGGTGCCAGCCTATTTCAATGACTCTCAGCGGCAGGCCACCAAGGATGCAGGTGTCATCGCGGGACTCAATGTCCTGAGAATAATCAACGAGCCCACAGCAGCCGCCATCGCATACGGCTTGGATAAAGGAAGCCACGGAGAGCGGCACGTGCTCATCTTCGACCTGGGGGGCGGCACGTTCGACGTGTCCATCCTGACGATCGACGACGGCATCTTCGAGGTGAAGGCCACGGCGGGCGACACGCACCTGGGCGGCGAGGACTTCGACAACCGGCTGGTGAGCCACTTCGTGGAGGAGTTCAAGAGGAAGCACAAGAAGGACATCAGCCAGAACAAGCGCGCGGTGCGGCGGCTGCGCACGGCGTGCGAGAGGGCCAAGAGGACGCTGTCGTCCAGCACCCAGGCCAACCTGGAGATCGACTCTCTGTTCGAGGGCATCGACTTCTACACGTCCATCACTAGAGCACGGTTTGAAGAGCTGTGTGCAGACCTATTTAGAGGCACACTTGAGCCCGTGGAGAAGTCTCTCCGGGATGCCAAGATGGACAAGGCTAAAATCCATGACATTGTTCTAGTAGGGGGCTCTACCCGCATTCCAAAGGTGCAAAAACTGCTGCAGGACTACTTTAATGGACGCGATCTCAACAAGAGTATCAATCCCGATGAGGCAGTAGCCTACGGAGCTGCAGTCCAGGCAGCTATTTTAATGGGCGATAAATCTGAAAAAGTACAGGATTTGCTTTTGTTGGACGTAGCTCCCCTCTCTCTAGGATTGGAGACTGCTGGGGGTGTGATGACTGTTCTCATCAAGCGCAACTCCACCATCCCCACCAAGCAGACGCAGATCTTCACCACCTACTCAGATAACCAGCCCGGGGTGCTGATCCAGGTGTATGAGGGCGAGAGGGCCATGACGCGCGACAACAACCTGCTGGGCCGCTTTGACCTGACTGGAATACCTCCTGCACCTAGGGGCGTGCCCCAGATCGAGGTGACCTTCGACATCGACGCCAATGGCATCCTGAACGTCACAGCCATGGACAAGAGCACCGGCAAAGCCAACAAGATCACCATCACCAACGACAAGGGCCGCCTGAGCAAGGAGGAGATCGAGCGCATGGTGCAGGAGGCCGAGCGCTACAAAGCCGAGGACGAGGGCCAGAGGGAGAAAATCGCTGCCAAAAATGCCTTAGAATCTTACGCCTTTAACATGAAGAGCGCTGTGGGTGATGAGGGCCTGAAGGACAAGATCACCGAGTCTGATAAAAAGAAAATACTGGATAAATGCAACGAGGTCCTTTCCTGGCTGGAGGCCAACCAGCTGGCTGAGAAAGATGAGTTTGATCATAAAAGAAAAGAACTGGAAAACATGTGTAACCCTATCATCACGAAACTGTACCAAAGCGGATGCACCGGGCCCACCTGTGCGCCGGGGTATACTCCCAGCAGGGCTGCCACGGGCCCCACCATTGAGGAAGTAGATTAGGCTTTTCCGGAACTACAGGGTGCTAGGGTGCCTCTAGGCGAATTTTATTCATCTTCAAACATCGCTATGATTCTTGAACTGACTGGACTTGAGCCTATGTCACCATCCTTTGGGATCCAGATGGAGAAGCCTCTCACTCCACCTTTTCACACCCCCACCCTCTCATCTATGATCCTGAACTGGACCTTTAGGAAAACCTGGCCCCTCTTCGAGCCGTTTGAAGAATTTAGATGTCTGTTATTTATTCTCCACACCCCAACATTCTCCTTCCTGTGTGGATGGTTATTTGTCTCTCAGTAAATTTGTTCCCAAAGGAAACAACTTCTGTCTTCTTTTGATTTATTTGTTTAGTCCAGGATCTTACTGTACACGTCTAGGTGACTTGACACTTAGGCCAATTTGTTTCTTAAACTTACAGAAATCCTCCTGTCTCTGCCACCTGACATTACCGGCATGCATCATCTTGCCTAGCTCTTGAATTTTGGAGGTAGGGTTTCCTGAAGCCCGGGTTAGCCTAAAACACTATACACAAAGGATCCGATCCTCCCTTAACCAGCTTACCCCCGTATCTTTAAGCTGTCAATGTTCCTTGAAAATGAAGAAAGGAGGACATGCATTTTTTGTTTGTGAATCCATTGTGAATGTTTAACTTGATAAGGGCAAAGTACTTGAATTTGTGTAAGTTCAGCATTTCCAACAATGTCATTTTGCTTCGTTTCGTGGTTTTGAGGCAGGGTCTTATAGAGCCTAGGTCTGCCTTGAACTTGAATTCACGCTGCCTCCACCTGCATGTCTGGAAGTACAGAACATTACACCTGCCAAGACAGACATTTTCTAATTCTCAGGCACCCTGGGCTCAGAGGAAGCAGTTGCTAAATGTACTGACTGCTTCTAGCCAGTTACAGCCTGTTTTAGGTTCAAATGTTAAGGATTCTGCTGAACTCGGTAATAAATCCTACTTTGTACCCTGATGGATCCAGCTCTGAACACAGTGATGTGCACCCGTAATCTCAGCACTGGGGGAGGGGAGTAGATAGGGCAGAGAGTGAAGAAGCATTTTAGGGTCTTGCTGGTAAGTCAGTCTAGCTGAATGAACCTGTCAGCTCCGGGATCTAAGGCAGATCCTATCTCAGAAAATGAGAGAGAGGGCTCAATGGTTAAGAACATGTGTTGCTCTTGCACAGGACCAGGGTTTGGTTCCCCCCACCTATATGGTGGCTAACAACTATAACCCCAGAGGATCCAACCCTCTCTTCTAGTGTCTGGGAGCACTGCACATGTGATACACAGACATACAGCCTCAAGAAGAGAAGACAAAACAGCAAGTGTTTCCCTATTTATCCAGACATATCCACAGAAGATACAACCTAGCAACTTCCCATTTAATTACTATTAAAAACAATACGGCTGGAGAGATGGCTCAGTGAGTGGTTAAGAGCACTGGCTGCTCTTCCAGAGGTCCTGAGTTCAGTTCCCAGCAAGCACAAAGTGGCTAACAATGATCTGTAATGGGATCTGATCCCCTCTTCTGGCACGTCTGAAGAAAGCCACAGCGTACTTATATAAAACAAATCAATCTAAATAACAACAAAGCCTTTCCATCCCAAGGCAGTGCGGTCTCTTTCTTCCTTGGGAACTTGCCTACTGAGGCTTTTCTAGTTTCTTATCAGTCAGCGCTTGTAAACTCCTTTACAACCAGACTGTTACAAGCCTGGTAATGCTGTTCCCAGAATATTCAAAGTAGTATCTGGAGGTGTTCTATTTGAAAATATTTCAGGGATTCAGGGATGGCTCAGCAGTTAAGAGCATTTGTTGCTCTTCCAGTACACACAGATTCGATTTCCAGCACCCATAAGGTGGCTCACTGCTGTCTGTAACTCCAGGCCCAGGGCATTTGAAGCCCTCATCTACCAGGCACTCATGTAGCGTAGACATAACATACAGGCAAATAGTCATACACAAAAAAAGCTAAAATAAAATATTTCTGCCACTGAGCTCCAGTCGGTTCAGTCCTTTACAAATGACTCCTATGAAAAAGTTATAAAAAGAAAAAAACACCAGAGCTGGGGATGTTGTTGTTCATTCGCTTTGATTAGCATGTGTATGCTCGCTGGGCGGTGGTGGTGCATGCCTTTAATCCCAACACTTGGGAGGCAGAGGCAGGCGGATCTCTGAGTTCGAGGCCAGCCTGGTCTACAGAGTGAGTTCCAGGACAGCCAGGGCTACACAGAGACACCCTGTCTCGAAAAACCAAAAAAAAAAAAAAAAAAAAAAAAAATTTGTAGCCTCTGGGTCCAAGCCCCAGAAAACTCTGCACCCCAAAAGGCTGAAATTGAGAGGATCTTATTTACTGGGGACCTTTAAGAATCAGGATTTGTGTTCAGGATTCTCTCTCGCGCACACACACACACACACACACACACACACCATAACCAGTGTGTGCTGGTGTGTATTTTACTGTCTCTGACACAGGATCTTGCTTTAGTTGGTCTCTAAACCAGAATCCTCCTGTCTCAACTCCAGGATTCCGTAGGGCACCAACGCTGTCCAGCTCTTAGCAACATTTTAAATTTTACTCCTCAAGGAATACGCAAGTCATAATTTTCTCAATCTTCTCAATAATCTTCAATAGAAAACATAGAGACTGAGCAAATCACGCGGCACAAAGAGTCTAAACACTTATCAGGACGAGAGGCGGACTACATTAAACGCGCAGCTGCCATGGCCCACGCATGCGCTCGGGAGGGAGCAGCTGCTCGGGAGGAAGTGGGAGACAGGAAGTCCCGCCCCTCTCCCGGTTTGGCGGTCCTCTCTGCTCTGCCCTACTCGGCTCCCTTTGAGCCCGGATTCAGCCGCGGTTTCCGCGGTTCCCCTTGCGCCTGCGTGATCCGGTCCTGCCTCACGCGCGGGCTCGCGCTCCGGCTCCCGCCCTGCCTGCGGCCCGCAGTCCCCGGCGCCTTCCTTCGCGGTCCAGGCCGCCCCGCGTGGCGCCAGCACCATGGTGGGTACCGTGACGTCAAAAGGGAGCGCCGCCGCCCGCGGCGGGCGGTTCGAACAGTGCGGGCCCGGGTAGGGCTCTAGCGTTAGTCGCTTCGGGCTGCAGCTAGGCCCCAGGGTTTTCCTTACAGCCTTCCTGCCCGCACCGCAGTGTGAGGAGACCTGCTTGGAATCAATGGTTTTCTGGGGGAAACTTCCAGCAAGTCCGAGAGAAAGCCCACGGGCGGCCGGAGAGAACGGAAAGCTAGCCTTGCATTTCCGTGCTGGAGATCAGGATTTTGTGAGGGTGCGGTTGGGGAGAGAGAGGTCTCAAACAGGGAGGTGGTCGATCAGAGAGTGGGTTCCGGCGACGAGGGGTGCAGCGCGGTTACTGTCACTCTGGCTCCATGAACTGCAGAGTCTCTGTTAATGGATTACCGTTGGGTGTGAAGTTTTGAGAACTACTAGGTGGGGGCTACGAAGACTAGTATTTCAGAATACCGTCACGGGTTCCTCCTCCCTGTCCCTTTTCATGTGATAGTTCCTCCCTCTTTCCCAATAGCTCTTCTACTCCTTTTTCAAGTCCCTTGTGGGCAAGGATGTAGTCGTGGAACTCAAGAATGACCTCAGGTAGGTCCTTATTTCAGCGAGTTTGTGTAAAGTGGGGGTGCCGGGTGTCCTGATCCTTTTTGTGGTTGTTGTTGACAAAGTTATTGTAGAGCAGGTGGGCAAAACGAAGAAATATCTTGTGTCTTAAGTGTAAAGATTAGATTAAGAGTGAGTCTGGTACTTTGACTCACGGTTGTGATCTCAGCACTGGCGCAGAGGTGTGAGTTCAAGGACAGCTTGATCTACATATGTCCAGGCCCAGCCTGAGTTACACAGTGAGATACGGTTAGATGACATGTAAGTGTAGTCCTGGCTGTCCTGGAACACATAGATTGTGTGTTCCACACACAGATTGTTCTGTCTCCTGAGTGCTAGGATTTGCCCGGCTGTATCGTTTGCTCTTAACCATTCAGGAGTTGGATTAAATGCTGTATCATTGGAAAGATGTTTATGGGTTCTTGTCACATCATTCGTTAGAGTCTACTTAGTCCTTGGAAAATTCTAGTTTCACTGAAGTCATTTTTTAAAATGTGGTACTGGACATGCTCAACAAGTGAACTTCTTTTTCCAGCCCTCATGTTTCTTTTTTAAAATACTTTATTTGTAGACTCCTGAAACCTTTGGGCACACATCAGTGCCTCAGAACCTTGATTCTAAGACAACGTGGTATTGACAAGCAGGATGGTTCTGGTCAGTGTGGCCAAGTTAGAAGCTGACCCAGACTAAGGTGCAGAGTAGCTAAGACTTTTTGTAGTCTAAAAGTCAGATCACATAAATGTTCTACAGAGCAGTGGGGACTCATAGAATGAAGAGAGTGAAGAAGGAAAACTCAGGATCCGAAGTTGTTAATTAAAATCTTTAAAACTGTGGGTAGATATAAAGTAAGGTGGGGCATGGGTAACTTGGCCTGGGAGCACTGGCCTTGGTAACTTTGCTCAGGGGGATAGAGGGCTGGGAACTGAGAAGACCTGCCTTGTATCTGAATCATAAAGGATAAGTGTAGCAAAAATAATAGAGTAATTTCAGCTGCCGTTACATGTATATGTGGGTCTCTGACTCCAGACCAGTGAATATTTACAGGTAACAGTGGAGCTGCAGAGATCGCTCAGGGCTTTAAACAGGATTCTCAAAGGGATCTGATGCCCTCTTCTGGTCTCTGTGGGTAACTACATGCACATACACACAAGTAATAAAAGTCTTTAAAAAAATAAAACAATAGTTGATGCTTCTGGGAGTTGTGTAGATCTAGGCTGTCATTCCAGTTTATTTGTTGTAAGTTTTGGGTCCTTATATGATTTCTCTTAAGTCCTGGATGATATTACTTTAAAGAACGACCAGCTGAGTGGTGTTGATGGCCATGCATCCCTTAAACTTTAGCTTAATTCCAGCACTCAGGAGGTAGAGGCAGAGGCAGGTGTGAGTGTGTAGCCAGCCTTATCTACAGAGCTAGTTCTAGAACCTCACAGAGAAACCCAGTGGGGCATGACCATGAATAGTGGGTCCTGGCTGTAGTTCTAGAACTTCAGAAGTGGAGTTAGGAGGATTGCCATAAGTTTGAGGCAAGCCTGGGTGGAGTGAGAACTGTCTTGAAGAGGAAATACAAATATTAAGTGGATTAGCTTCTGATGTGTTGGTGTGAGGAAAGACAGAGTCTGGGGGCTTTATCATTTCTACCTCAGAACTCAAAGGTGCTGCCTGCTGGCTTCCGAGCCTGAGTTCCTCCCCCACTTGTCATTCTAGTTCTGACTGTCCATGCTGATTTCAGCATAAATTAATGCTTCTTCCCTCTTTGCTCTTGACAGCATCTGTGGAACCCTCCACTCTGTGGACCAGGTGAGATCCAATAAAGGGTCAGTCTGTTCTTGGGGAAGGGAAGGAGACAGTGAGGAGTAGATTATTGTGTCTTGTGTCTAGGGTTAATGTTGATATTCCTCTTTCTTAGTACCTCAATATCAAACTAACTGACATCAGTGTCACAGACCCCGAGAAATACCCACACATGGTGAGTTGGGGCTTGTGAGGAGGAGGAAACCTTTAAAGCAAAGGCTCCTGGGTGGCTGGAGGACACTTCTAATAGAGGTGCTTTCATATTTGTCTCCAGTTATCAGTCAAGAACTGCTTCATCAGGGGCTCCGTCGTCCGCTATGTGCAGCTGCCGGCTGATGAGGTGGACACACAACTGCTACAGGATGCGGCAAGGAAGGAAGCCCTGCAGCAGAAGCAGTGATGGCACTGTTCCCCTCCCCCTCTCCTCCCCATTGGTGACCCCTAACTTGCTGGGACGCCCCTGCCCAATACTTACAGTGTGTTTTGTTTTGTTAATTATTGTTTTTTCTTTTTAACTGAACGGGTGAGAGAGAATTCCTCTGTTGAGAAGGGAAGCTATGAGAGCCAGGAATTGGAGAATGTTCCTGGATGGCCTCAGTCTGTACCTTTTTCTCACCTCTGGAGATGGGAGCTGCATCCTAGGCCCTTCCATGGCGACATGTAATACATTTGAGGGATGGGAAGATCTGTCCCGCATCGGGAATAAAACTTATGATGCCAACTGAATTCCTGTTTTGTAGTCTGTGTTTTGGGCAAGGAGCTGGGAAGGGATGTTGAATTCCCCGGCACTCCAGCAGTTACATTCCTCCTCCCTCTCCAGCCAAGCATCCAACCCAGCACATCAGCGTTACGGTCTTCTGCCGTAAAGCTTGTAATGGGATGAATGAAGGCACCAGTGACAATTCCGAGTGGCTGCTGGGTATCCTGTAGGCATAAATTGTTTGCAGCCTATTTTAATAAACATTCAGCCTCTCCTCTAGCTCACCACTCACCAGAGGTAGTGGAAGAGAAAACTTATTAGGATACGGGGGAAGTGGGTCTGTTTAGCAATAGCTCTTGGGAGGTGAGCTCCGTCTTTATCAGCAGTTCAGTCATTGAACTGCAGCTGCACATAGTCCTCTCGGCTGGCCGCAGACACCACACATACACCAGCAGCTGTCCAGTCTTAGCCAGTACACACCACGCACAAACTAGCAGTCGTAGTTCAATCCTGAAGAAACCACAAGGCTTGCCAACTGGTCTTGGACCACTGAAGCAGCAAGAAGCCACAGGAACCTCTCGAGAAATTCTTGGGTGAGTTTCTCTCAACGGTGGCATTACCACAAGTGGGTGAGTTTCTCTCAACGGTGGCATTACCACAAGTGGAACTCAACAGCTCTATATAAGGTGAACCAGTGCATGGTGTGTCCTTAGTGAAGAATAGCCAGGCGGAGTAAACCAAACTAATTCTCATGCTCCCCCTGTCTGTGGGGTCACATTTATACTCTTTTATCATGTGTCCTTTTATGTGTCTGTGCTATAGCAAAACATCCTTTCACTCTCGTCTGTTTTAGCAAGACATCCTTTCACCTGTGTGCCCCAGGAAAACAACATTTGATGTAACCGGTTTTCCAAAGAAACCAGAAGTTTCTGCTTCAGACACCTTAGAAGCAAACTCCCAATTGGAGGTTCTTCAGTGTCCCTCATCTTCTTAGAGGTAGTATTGGGGTGCTGCCAGGAGCTCTGGCACGACAAGCCTTTATGTTACTAGAACATCTTAAATGCCATAATGTAGATCTCTGAAGTGTTTTAAGATTGTAGTATATCTGAGTAGGCAAACATTGCCTGTTTCTAGCTATTTACTATCTACTTAACTTTGAAAACACCTACAGGAGGTCAAATAACTCTTAACTTCTGTAATTAGCTAAACTAATATCTACCATGACCACAGTTTGATTATTAACTTGTATTTCTTAATTATCCTAAACAGTTTGTAATATAGCAGCATTCAAGGGTTTTAGAACTTTACATTGGATTTTTAAATGACTTGCAGAGGTGCAGTACTCTAAACAAGAGTTGAAACATATATACAGCATGATATAATACAAATATAATCTTGCCGGGCAGTGGTGGTGCACGCCTTTAATCCCAGCACTTGGGAGGCAGAGGCAGCCGGATTTCTGAGTTTGAGGCCAGCCTGGTCTACAGAGTGAGTTCCAGGACAGCCAGGGCTACACAGAGAGACCCTGTCTCCAAAAAACCAAATATATATATATTGCTATATCTATATCTAATCTTGAATGATTATCAAGATACGAAAATACATACCCATGGGAAAATATTTGGCTTATTGATGCTCTTTAAAAGTAGATTCGATAATCTACCCTTTTATCCCATCATCCTTATATTTACCCCCTTTTTCTTTTCATCCCCTCACCTCCCCCTTCCCACTAATACTGGATAGGAGAGAAGGGAGGAAAGAGAGAGACCCCCGAACCTAACCAAATCTAATCTCTACTGTGTTTCCTGGTTGACCAAGACCATGAACAATTTGTGACCAATCCCCCTTAAACAGTGACAATCCAAAACATATCCATCACCAAGCATATGACAAAACCCACCCATTTCACCTCTTCAGAATGGGGGCATTGTTCTCTTAACATTACTTCTGAAGACAACAGCATTTTCCGAGGACCTTAAGAAAACTGGGATATTGGTCAAGTCCTGGGAGAACCAGTTAGTTGTATCTTCAGTCTCTGGGAGATAGGAGAGAGCAGGGCTTAACTGACGTCCTGGCTGGAACAGTGTGAGTCTGGATCATCTTAGACATTTTGAAGTTGTCCTGGATACAGACTTGAGGAAATAATTACCGTCTGTGAAGCTGGATCGCCTGGGTTGCTTGTCTTCAGTGGTGTCTGGTCTTTTTGATCTGAAAACACACAAACTCTTAAAGGTAATATATATCTCTGCATTAACGTATGTGTGTGGCTTTGTTTAAACAGGTGAAAGGCATCCAACATTAATAAGTATGTTTGGACTCTATAACCAAACTGTAATATAAATTTCCATCCATGCCGTATAAAAGGATGGCATGCAGTAATAATTCCCAGGACTCGGGAGCCAACAAGCCATGCAGAGCCATATCTGAGCCAGTCTCAGAGTTGCTCCCACAGAGTCATTCATGTTTCCTGTTTTGTTACTTTATGTCCACAGCCAAGACTCAGGTCTCCCCCGTCAAATGTAATCTTTATTAGTTCTGGATGAACCAACAGCTATTCATTTCCTGTTGAAACATTTCCTGGCTTCCATTCTGAAGTTAACACAACTTAATTAGGGTTTCTGTTACCGTGAAGAGACACCGTGACCAAGACAACTCTTATTAAAAACAAGCAAACAACAAACAAACATTCAGTCGGGGCTAGCTTACAGTTCAGAGGTTCAGTCTATTATCACGGTGGGAAGCATGGCAGCATGCAGGCTGGCTTACTGCTGGAGGAGCTGAGAGTTCTGCCTCTTGATCTGTAGGCTGCCAGGATGAGGTCCCTGTTCCACACTGGGTGAAGATTGAGCACTAGGAGACCTCAAGGTGTACGGTGACACATGTCCTACAAGGTCACACCTCCTAATAGTGCCACCTCCCACGGGCCAAGCATATCCAAACCACTGTAACATCCTTAAAATACATGAGCTGGTTTAATTCAATAGTTCTTTTCCACGATTCAGGGTCTCTCAGATGTTGGTTTTTCTGTTTATCATTAGCATTAAAAAAAAAAAAAATTAACCCGGGCAGTGGTGTTAAGCAGGGTAAAAACAGCCATGAGAATGAAAGAGGAGCCTTTGGGGGGACAGATGTGTCACTGGGCTGTATGAGTGAGGGCATAAATGTCATTCCAGGTCATCTGGCTAAACGTTCTTGGATGATGTACCGCTTCCTCTTTGATTGACCTGTGATCTGATCGCCAGGTATGCCAGGTTTTTGACAGAAGGGGTCATATTGGATACTGTGGGCTGGAACCCAGACATGGCAAGGTTGGTCCTCTGGGAAGACGCAAATAATCCCCCTCCCTACCATTAACGGGGACAGGCCCCTCCAACACCCATCTAGCAGGTCCTTCCATCTGGTCAGGATGGGTGGTATTCGTGGTTGACTCCAGTGACAGACAATGGGGAGTTCGCCTTGGGTGGCATAGACGTTGAACACTGAGTGTGAATACTGTCAGGTTTAACTGAGTGTTCTGCGGTAGGGAGCCTTGGCTTTAATTGTTTTTAAGAATTTGATGTGTTTTTTTTTTTTCAACGACAGCTTGGCCCTGAGGGTTGTGAGGGACACCAGTGTGGTGGACAATTTTCCAAGTCTTGCAGAAATTCTCCTGAAAGCTAGTCAATTATCGATTTTGATATGGAGAGGGAGCCCCATAATAGCAAAATCGGAGAACATGTGACTAATTAGGTTTTTAAATGGGAATAGGTATTAATGGTACCGAACACCAAGTTTTGTGTTCCAAATGATGGGATGTGGGTGACGTCAATCTGCCAGAAGGCACTGGCCTTAGGACATCTGGAGTTGGTGCCCAACTGTATAGCAGGGGTGCGAATCAGGGCAGCACAGGACTGGTGGTTTGGAGAATGTGTTTAAGGTGTTCCACAGTGGTATTGGGAAATTTAAATTGTAGTCCTCTCCGGGTTATTTGCTGATAGTTCTTTAGCAGTGAGGGGTGAAATAGTAAAGGCCCCAGTTGTGGTAATCTTATTGGCTAAGGAGTTACCAAGAGAGAGCAGTCCGGGAAGGATGAATGTGATCATAAAGATGGGATATGTTCTTGTTTGAAGTATTTTTGAAATGTTTTATTAACATGGGAGAAAGAGGGTTACCACCAAGTCTGACGTAGGAGCAGGCTACCCAGGGGAGAGTAGGTTGATCACAACTATTGTCACAGGCAGTGACTTAGGTAATAAAGAAGAGCTCACTGACTGAAGCATATTATCCATGGCTCTTAAGTCTGTTAATAGCCTCCATTTTCCTGATTCCTTTTTTTTAAAATAACAAACAGGGGAATTCCGTGGGCTGGTGGAGTCTTCAATGTGTTGAGCATTCAGCTGCTCCTGTACCATGTTTTAGTACCTGCAATTGTTCTAATGCCGTAGGCCTTTGTCCTCCCATACAGGTTTGTCAATTAGCCATTTTAAAGGCAGAGCCAACACCTGGCATGTCCTGCCTGTGGACACCCTGGACGGTCTGGGACTGTTCTTGATAATACCTTTCAATATTTTTTTTCAAAAGCTTTTTTTTTTTTTTTTAAGATTTATTTACTTTATGTACGTGAGTACACTGTTTCTCTCTTCAGACACACCAGAAGAGGGCATTGGATCTCATTACAGATAGTTGTGAGCCAGCATGTAGATGATGGGAATTGAACTCAGGACCTCTGGAAGAGCAGTCAGTGCTCTTAACCGCTGAGCCATTTCTCCAGCCCTCAGAAGCATTTTTTTTTTAATTTTATGGTTTATTTCTGAGATTGAAGGAATGCTAATCTGTGTCTTCTGTTGCTGCAATATACCATGTCCCCATAAATCATGGCTATCTTGGCCACATACAGCTTTAAGTTTTCTGTCTGACCTTCTGGTCCTACACACTTAAGCCTCGAACACTTTGTTTTACCTGGGATAAGGGCCCAACCCTTGGAAACTGAATATCCTCCCACATAGGCCAAGATTTTGGTGAAATCATTGTTATACCTGCTGTCTGT